CACTTGTGCTGGAACTGTCAGACAAACTGACACTACTGCTGGAACTTGGCGACACACTGGCACTGCTGCTGGAACTTGGCGACACACTGGCACTGCTGCCGGAATCTGAAATGGAGCAAGAAACGGACAAACTAGAATTGTCTTTTAGTAGAATAGACCGTTATGTATATTGATTCTAATTGCTTCTCCTTTTAAGAGAATCCATGAATTAAAGTACTCTTAAACATGACTTTCAGTAAATCTTATATATTTTTACTTTATCAAATACGCGAATAATAGCATTCTGATTCAGGGTTTTTACCCTCGCACCTTGTCTTACCGGCAAAAGCATAGATGCAATGTTATGTGAGGTGAAACAAACAAAGATCGTTTGTCTCGCCTTCTTGCTGCAGGATAGCAGTGCAGTATCGAGCTTTTTAATTCATTAGCTGGCTGGCAACCGTTTCCAGCATATTTCAGCACTTCTACTTTGATGGATTAATACTGCCGCTCTTTCGTCAAACAAATGACCAGTCATTGGCGAACAAGTTATAGTTACTTGTTTACTTGTCATTACTTGTTACCATACCAACGGGTATAAGCTGATGAAAACGCTGTTAATTACAGCTCTTAATGACGAGTCTGGTGACCTCCATTTGTTATCATGGAATTGCAAGTTTTCAATTCAATTCAATTTTTATTTCTATAATTTTAAATTTATAATATAAAGGATTACACAACCCGCATATAGCAGAGCTAATCGACGCGGGTTCTGTTATTTACAACCACATTTAGGTAAAAGTGATTTTAAAACAGGTAAGCTAAATGAATAAGATAAAAAAAGTAATCAGGTATACACATACATTAACAGATAACTAGTATTTACATGGATTGAACAAGAATTCATAAAAAGGAAATCATAATAGCCAGAGTTTGATGAATGGTAATGAGTAATTTTTGAGATTAACGTCGAGACTTCAAAATAATCATTCTCATCACCAAGCATCGCAAAAAATAATTGGCGAATTTTGCTTTGAAGTTTACGCTATTCAGGTCTCAAGCAATTCCATACCTTAGCTCCAAAAACAGAGAACGTGTTAGGTCGAATAGTCAGTCTTGATTTATTAACATACAAGTTACCAGCATCAGAAAATCTGGTGTTTTATGAATGGACGTCAGAAGAACGGGGAAATACATCACAGATATTCTTAGGCGCAGAGTTGGTAGATATATCATGCATAAGAGAAGATATTGTTTCAAAATAAAGCATACTGAGGGGTAAAACATGGGCGGAGACAAACAAACGAATAGCATGAGATCTATTACCAGCAAAGAACATTAATCAAAGAGCTCGTTTTTGTAAGATAAAGATCTTTTTACAATAAAATTGTGCAGCTTGCCCCCAGGGTGCAATTCCATAGTATGTATAGGGGAAAATCAAAGAACGAGAAATTTTGGTTAGAATATTTAAGGAGACGGTGTGCCTTAAGTTTCCACTTTATAAAAAGTTTAATAAATATTGGACTGGTTTCACAACATAAAGATGGCTCCAAAATCCCTCTTACAATTTGTTAAAACTAAGAACAAAGTTGCATTATTAGTATGTTCAAACATGCTAATCACAATTCCACACTAACCCAGAGTGGGTGGGGGTGGGGGAGGGGTCACATGACTTGTCTTTAATGGAAAATCTCGTAGATCTAAAATCAAGGGCGTTTCAAGCGGTTGTGCTGTTGTAGCGGCAACCGTCACGAAGATTGCCAAAACATGTTTAGTGCATTTTTTGAAACGTTATTGTAGCATCAACTAAAATTGTATGGATACATATTGTTCTCTCTTGGAGCGGCTTCAGTGAAATCAAAAAATAAAAATAAAAATGTATAACTTATATATAGCTTGTTGCACGATATGGCCACCGAAAAAAATGCAAAAACACATTCTGTGCTGCAGTCCTTGAAATATTTCATGTGCGGACTGCAAACCCTAACATATATAACTTTAATTCTCCGGTAAGTTTCTCTCGACTTGCACACTTACACAACAGGTACGATGTTGAAGTTGCTGTGATGCAGGGACAATAACAAACAGAGGAACTCAAAGAGGCAAAAGCACTAATTGTATTGTTTTTATTGGTCGCTACGTTGTAGAAGATTTGAGAACTCTGGTCAGCAGGGCTGGATGAAATGAAACCACCGCTTTTTGATTGACATAGAAACTCATGGAAAGAAAGTTAACGACTCACTCATTGACGTGGAAACGGCCTGACTCAAGTACGTCGAGGAACTAGACGAGAAGAAATCACCTTGACTGGTCCATTCTGGAACTGCTGACGCACTTGTTGCCAGACACCGAGCTTTGCTTGATACATCGATTAATGAAAACAAAAATATTGTTATGTGATGTGATGATTATTAATGTTCTGAAGCCGCCTTAAAAAGCCCTGATTAATGTATATCATGCCACGCGAATAAAATGTCGATTACGACAAATAAGCTACTTTCTTTTACTAAAAAAATGGTCGAACTTTTTATCCTGAAAGTCAAAAAACCGTGACCACTTTAATGTTATTTTAAATTGTCGATTGTGTAGCCAGCAATCAGATGCTAGAAAAACCGCAACAAAGCAAACAAATTAACGATGTCTCCATCAGTCACGAAACTTCGATCATTTTTCCTTCCAAAAAAGGCTGTTACCCTTTAGTTCTATAATTACTTATTTAACCTGCTCTATTTGTGCAAGCAAAACCGGAAATTCGAGCTACTTTAAATGACGTGTGGCTCAAACCTGTACACATGGACTTGCAGCCTAAGGCTACAAAACCAGACAGACAGCTCCTTTATATTCAACTTTATCCGTTGCTATATTATCAATGAAAAACAAATCCAGCTTAATTTTAGAATAAAGGTTATTACAAAGGTCATAGATAATGTAGACAGTTTTACAAAACGGGGTAACAGGGAGTTCTAAATTCATGAATGGTGAATTCACAAATTTGAAATTCTTTTATTGCTTATTAGCTAGCATTTATAAGTCCGTTCTTATATGGCTGTAGCTCAGCGAGCAGGCAAGATGGACCAAATCCTGCGCTATGATTGGCTACCCGAAAGACTGAGACTTTTTCCGTTACCAGGTGCCTTTATATTTCGGTATCAATCCGTCTGTCGCAGTTACGAAAGTTTGCAGGTTCCATTGAGTAGCATGTAACCGTGAAAGCAAAGGCCAAACGGCATGCAGCGGTGGGAATTAAAATGCCATTAAATGAAGGAATTAACTGGGAGTAGGTTAATTGATCATTTTCTTGAGTCCATGTAAAAATATTGCTGGGTATTTCTTGTGCGAAAACTACATCATATTATTCTTCACAAAAAGTCTCACGCATTTCTTAACTACTGCCATGTAACCTATTCCGTTTTCACGGAAACATTGCATTCCGAATTACTCAACATTCATTTCTTGCAACATGACAAATGACTCGGTCGCGGATTCATAATAAGTGATCATGTGACCACGATTTACCGTTCGCATCTCTTGCATCCCGAAGTCTTAAATCGATTACTTCTCTAAGGTATGTGATTTGTAGCTCTGGCCATATTTGTTGACTTGTTCACTGTTATGAATAACGTATTGTTCTTCTATCAACCGAAGGGACGCATCAAAGTCGCGGTATGTTAACCGTTAGCTTGGTCACCTACTGCAAACTACGTTTTCTTCAGTGATTATACAGAAAACAATGCATCTTCCTGAGAACTATCGGGAAGCAATATTTTCACCTAATAAAGCGAGTTGGAGGGCTTAAGTTAATCAAGTTTTGGCAGTCAATGCAGATTTATATTGTTCGATGTTTCACGAATATGACCTTATACAGAATGCACACTTTATATTCTTGTGATTTTTAGTAATAACATAGTCACATATGATTTCCGTAATTTCCAATGTAACTTGAACGCAGATATATCGAGCTTTCTTCCATGCGATTGTTCTATAGTCTTCCAAGTTGCAAGCTTTGTTTCAGCGATGAAATAACACGAGAGGTATTTGTTTCACAAAGCTGCGACTGTAACGGGTGAGCACAACGGGAATCTCTTAAGAGTGTTCCTTAAAACCAACTCTTGAAGAGCAGAAATTCCGGAATAAATCATGCACACAAACTAGAAATGATATTCTACCATTGCAGTGTTTCCTGCGCTAAACAGACGAGTCCTGGTATTACATAACATCGATAACTAATGTTATTGTTCAAGGTGTTCACTAATCAGCGGGCTATCAGCACTTAAGCCATTCAAGTACAACATAGGATACTAAGGGAAACCTTGAATCCCATCCCTGGCTATTTAAGTAATGCTTAGTTAAGGTGAGTATCGTGCACTTGTAACCGAATAACGGGGGTTCTGTCTTGACGAATTTTTAGCCGCATTTACTAGCTGCCTAGGCAATGCGCAACGCCCAGCAGACTTTTTCTTCGATTCTTTTCTCGCTGAAGGCTTTTATCTTTACCCACAGACGTGCGAAACTGAGCAAATAGATAACAAACTTTTCCACTTACCATACGACAGGAGAAATCCTTGAAGGATCATAAGTGTCATGATGAAATAAAATTTTTGCCATTGTCGCTACTCCTTTGTTGTTTTAAATATACCTTCCAAAAGACTTCAGTCAAGACACTATTAACCTGAACCTCAGGAGCCAGGAACTGGAATTCTAAACTGATAATGAGTTTTTGTGAGGAAAATGAATCCAAAGACAATTTATCGGTTCCACTCACAACCACATTCGGATGCGACGCTATGACATGAAATGGCTGCTTTGGCCCTCAATTTTCTCGACCACGTCCAAATAACCATAACAG